CCCCAAAACCCCAAAACCCCAAAACCCCAAAACCCCTTTTAAAAATACGCTAAATGATAATTAAAATTACCAAATTAAGTAAAAATTCTAAAATGAATAAAGCAGATACCTGCCTGTAAGTATATATGCCTTAGGATGACTCCTGACATGTGGTATAGCCCCAAGACTGTTTGGGTAACATACCCAGAGCTTAGACAGAAGTCGGTAGTTAATTTAAGGCATATGGTTTTGAATATAGATCCTAATAAGTGAGGTAGCTGTTCGAGTCATGACTCAGAGATAAAGACAAGTCATAAGTGGGGGTTTTATACGAGTAAAATTAGGACTGATGATTATGAGAGATTATTAGACCTTGGATTCTCAAGGTCAGGAACATTTATAGATAAGTCAGATACAGCCCGCTCTTGTTGCCCGCTGTACACCTCAAGACTTGATTGCACAGAGTTCAAGCTGTCAAAGCAACAGAAGAAGCACATGAAGAGGTTCAATCAATATATCAATGGGGAGCGGGAGTTCAAGAAGACCATCGACCCAATCATTCTTAGACACCCTAAAGGTACTTATCAGCGAAGCTCTCTTTAGATATCATAAAAGACAACAGAAGAAAGATATATGCTAAGTTTCTTGAAAATATCAAAAAGGAGCAAGAAGAACTGAAAAAGCTAATCATTGAAGCTATCTGAAATAACGATGATTTCAATGTTCAAGGTCAGGATATAGTTGTCAAAGATTATAAACGAAAGATATCTCATAGTAGATTTGCCTATTATTCTTGAAATGTTGCTAATGTTATCCTTGAACAAACAAAATGCAAGAAGCAGGGTAAATCCAGACAACCTTTAATCAAAGCACTCAAAGACCTTCTTTTGAAAACTCCAGGTTTCCAAGAAAGTTTTGATGTTTATGAGAATCCAAATGCAATGGTGTTTGGGTCTAAGAAATGGCTAAACCCAAGATCAGCCAGAGTAAACATATTTAGCTCAAACAAAACAAATGAGTACAATGAACAGAGCTACGTTGAAACAGGGGAAGAGCGCAAGATAGCACTTGAAGCATCCGATTCCAGACCATACACTGACTTCTTCGAAGAGTTTGTACCAAATCCAGCACAAGAGTCTGGAAGGGCTCATAATTACACAGTTTCATTGCACAGAGCCATTTGATACCGAGAGAACCTCGAACTGTATCGCAAGTTTGTACTTTGCAGATTTGATCAAGAGCGGTTGAAGCAAGACTTTGAAACCTTCCTGACGAATAGCTGTCTTTATGACCCTAAAGATCCTGAATTCGAAACTGCCATGACGTTCAAAGAAGAAGATACTCTGGATGCTAACAGAGTTTTCAAAGATGAAGGAGTTTACCCACAATACTTTGGAACTTATCACTTGCATCACCGCATTGACGGAAGACTGATTGCCATCAATGTATGGGACATTACAGAGCACACGCTCAGCTCAGTGCACACATTCTATGATCCAGAGTACAGCTTCTTGTCTCTTGGTCATGTCACAGCCGTGAGAGAAATAGAATACATGCAGAAGGTCAGAAAAGAGTTCAACCCCAACATGAAGTACTACTACATGGGAGAATACGATATCAGCAAATAATATGAGAATCTCTTCAAAAGTTCACAACAGTCATAAATAGTGCTTACAAAGGCCACATGCATCCTCAGAATCTTCTCTGCCCATCCACTTACACCTATATCCCTTTAACTTCTTCCTTAATCGAACAAATCAAGAGTGGTAACAAGGGGAAGCTCAACCCATATGCTGAAGAAGTTGTTCACGAAGAAAGCAAGAAGTTTCAAGAATTTCTTCCAAAATTCCCTATAATTTATAAAAAAGTAGAAATCCTAAAGTTAAGACAAATGAAGAGAAAATTTCGAGAGAAGTACTCTAATAATCTCAAGGCATTTTACAAGATCATCGGAGACTTTTGGTACAAAAGGTTCATTTTTGAATGTGTGTAATCCCAGACTACAATTCGAGGCTAAGCTTAATACGTATCATAAAAAACATCAGGATGAAATTCCGGAACTTAACTGAATTGGAGAAAATTGGTATCAAGGAATTTATTTTCTGACAAAATACTAAAGAGTTTTAACATTATTAGACATTGTTTTTGTATTATTTCACGTTTAAAATTTGATAGGCCATTCTTCAATAACTTAAAAAATAGAAATTCCACAGAAATCCTAACATTCTCAACTTAACCTCAAAAGCACTATTCTATCTAATTAGAAGATGATGAGTGATTAATATTGAAGCATGTGGTTTTGTGATAGATGCTTAAAAATGATTTTGTGAAAATGGAAAAGAGAGAAAACAGTACTCGAGATAGAGTTTTTATTAGCTAGCTCAAAACTGATGATTATTTGTACTTACACAAAATTTGGGTTTCGTAAAATCAGGGGTCTCTAAATGTGAACCAGATGAAAATAAATCTGGTTACGCCCACTGCATTTCAAAACTTGACTGAACATAGTTCAGGATATTAAAACAGCAGGAGAAACACATAAAGAGATTCAACCAATACATCAAAGGGAGAGGTAGTTCAGGAAAACCATTTGAAAATTAATTTATTGAAGACTTTTGAAGTTTTGATATGATTAGTTTCAATGACTAAAATAACATAAGGGGTTTTGGGGTTTTGGGGTTTTGGGGTTTTGGGG